ATTTTCTGGCATTTCCTTATGGGTGCTTAAATACCTCCTCACTTTTAAAGCAGTACCTATTTATCTACTCACAATTGCTGTTTTCAATTTGCTAGGTTGGCAAGAGCTGGGCTGAAGGCCAGGAACTCACCCTGACCAGGGCTTCCCATCTTACATGCTTCACTCTTTTCTGTATCTAATAAAATAATGTATGCCACATTAATCACATAGGCAAGAGAGGGTTGGCTATGTGATAGCCATGTTCCTCCCCCCTAACCCAGTTTTTATGGGGTGGGGTGGGGTGGGGGGGTGAATATTTCTCCCAATGGAGAAATGTAAAAATATTTTTGTTCCTACAGAGATACACAGTTCTCAAATTAAAAACATTTTAATAAGAAATAATATTGGAAAAGTGAAAAACATGTATGGCTTTACTCGTGGTCTTTCTCAGACTGTCATCAAAACTGTATGGCTGTCCATTATGGAAAGGGTTATCAAATGAGATGAGAAGACTGTCCTCAAAAGACACATCACTGGCACAGAGGACGAGCTGCAGACAGGTCTACCCATCACACACAAAAGAACCCTGTGCTTTTGACATGCGTGGAGAATTTAAAATAAATGAAGTCAGTTGTGTACTGTTTTATAAAAAATACGGAAGCTCCTTTTCCTATGGGTGCCTGATAAAATGGACTTTGAGTCATGTGATAGGATCCGTAGGCACCAGTAGGCAAAGAACGTCACTGACAGGTATAAGACTGTATGATAAAGTCTCCAGGGTTTTTGAGATAAGAAAGATTCCAACTTTTATGTTCATGATCCTTTAAGGGGTATGAAGCCCAATTTAATTTCCATGATGGTGGGTTTCACACCAGGTTTCAAAGCAGTGAAACAAAGCAAGTTTAAAGTAGACTTGGGCCCAGATCAGTTTGACTGAAAGCGATTTGTAATATTTGGTGGTCCATTTGGTGTAATCAGCCGAAAACAGAACCGGGAGGAGGGAACCAAAAAGCTGAGCAAAACGGATCAAGAGAGCTGGATTTATCGGCTATTGGGGAGGATGGAGTTACATTTGCAATATACTTGAGGCAGAGGTCTGCTACGGGCAGGGGCAGCTCAACTCATTACGCAAAGTAAGCATTTGCAGTATAGTTGATTTTGTCTAGGGGCGCTCTTGAGGCGCTCTTGGAGGAAAATAGACCTTGACATATGCGAGTTTTAGTTACTGGGATGTATAGTTCACCTACAATCAAAGAGTATTCTGAACTCCACCAATGATGGAATTGAACCAAATATGGCACACAGAACTCCCACGACGAACAGAAAATATATATCAGTGATTGGTTGGGGGGGGGGGGGCAAAATATTGTTTGCTTACCGTTGAAAATTACCTAGAGCTGCCTATGGCTACGGGGCTCCTGGAGAAGATGGGATTACTTGCAGCGTCTTTTCTCCCTCCCTGGCAGTGAAGTGTCAATTTCTTTTTGGAAAGTTTCCTAAGTTCCTCCTCCTCCAGAGAGGGCTCTTCTGGAAACTCGCTTTCCCAGCAGCACTTGCATGGGGCGGGCATTGAAAGGTTTCTGAGTTCCTCTTGGAGCATGATGGGAGTTGAAGTTTTTCCCTCTGTGTGTGTGTTTCACAGCCAATAAAAGGCCTGGTTGTGTCCATGCTCTGATTGGCTGGGAATGGACAAAACTGGTGACAATTCCCCAGTACCCTCTCTTGTGGTTTGTCATATTTTTTAAAAAAGCTATGGTAAACACTTAAAATAATTATTAAACAATAGTAAATTGGTGAATTGTTCTGAAACTTGGCAGGCCTTCCGTTATAAGTGGGGTCTAAAATTGAGGTACGTTTCATGCAGATAGGCCTTGAAATGACTGAGAACTGAGCCTTCAAAGTTTCCCATTGTAGCCAATGTGCCAAAATGAAAACGGCAACACTCCTCCCAATTCGAGTAACTTCCTGGTAAACAGAATGAGGGGTTAGCCGAAAATGGACCCTGAAATGGCATGCCTTTTGGCCAAATTGCACAAGTCTAGTTTAAAGTGTAAAGGCCCAAGTCACTAATTTGAAAGGGAACACAATTGTTAGTTTGCTGTCATTGCGTCCTTTCCTCTGCGGGTGAATTTTAATACAATTGGTTGTGGTTACAGCTCATGGTAACCTTGTTGAGTGTTGCAGCTTGCTCCATTTGACGTAGAGCACACTGAGGGGAAAAACACACAATGTCATTGATGATAACTAATCTGATTCCATTGTTATATAGGAACAGCTGTGACTTGGATATTAATTCCCACCAGCAGCACTTCGCTTTAGAAGGCAGAAGTTAATAAAGAAGAAGCGCAGCAAATGATTTCCCCAAAATTGGTATTCATGAGGTGATTTCTTCACCTACATTAATGATTGATCACAGCCTTCCTTCTGGAGGCAAAAGACACTACATGAGGGTAGAAGAGAAACTAAACAAAGGGCTGGTATTTCAGGTGTACCCTCAATAGAAAATAGTTTTTCCTAGGGTGGATCTTCATTGTAGAACTACTGCAGTTTGGTACCAGTTTAACTACCATGACTCAGCACAATGAAAACATAGGGTTTGTAATTTTACAAGATTCTCTGCCAAAGAGTGCTAGTGCTGCATCAAACTACAAATCCCAGGATTCCATAGCATTAAGCTGTGGCAGTTAAAGTAGTTCCAAACTGTGTTAATTCTGTAGTGTAGATGAAAAAGCACGTCCAATTTTCTTGGAGGATAAATCCTGTACTCGAGCTACCATTCAGTCACTTAGGATGGAGTCTATCGCCGCTGGCTGTGATGTCATATGTATTACATCCCCTTGTTAAGAAGACCACTCCTCGCTTTGCATAAATGTTGGTGGTGGAAGACTACCCTTGATCATATTACTATCAGTCAGGTTCACTTTGGTGTATCTGTCTAATGGATGTTTCCAAGGACCCTGAAGTTCCATTTAAATAAGAATATTATAATGATTTTTTTAATCGTGGCAGATGCTACTAGAGAAACTGCAAGTCGCTTCTGGTGTGAGAGAATTGGCCATCTGCAGGGACGTTGCCCAAGCGATGCCTGGATGTGTTACCATCCTGTGGGAGGCTTCTCTCATGTCTGTCAGCCCCAACATGGGAAGCTGGGGCTGACAGATGGGAGTTCACCCTGTTGCGCAGATTTGAACCACCAACCTCACCTTTGGGCTGAAATGGGGGGGAGGGGTAAAAATGACATAAATAAACCTTCAGGTCAGCAGTTCAGCCGGCACAAGGGTATAACCCATTGTACCACTGTGGTTCCTATTATATTGATGATGTATATGTGTTTTAATGCAGCTAACACTTTTTGGATGTAAAAAACCCAAAAATATTCAAGTATTTGAAGGGCACTGGCAATATTTGTTGTTGTGCATTGTTCACGTTGTTTCCAACTTGCGGCAATTGAGAATGGGTTTCCAAGGCCAATCTGGGACTCAACTTCTGATCTCTGGGATTGTAGTTCAGCACTCAAAACACTACACCACTCTGGCTCACTATTGGTGGGGAAATGGAGATGAAGGTCTGGTTCAGCAATAGAGGGGCTAGTAGAGGTAAGGAAGAAATGAGGGTGATGAAATGGATAATAGTAATTTATATGCAAGGGATGCATATAACTTGTGTAGAATAATGGGTCTAAGGAAACTATATTTTGAGAAAAATCAAGGCCTCTTCTTGTGCCTCATCAGTTTTAGTCAAAGGCAGCAAGAACCTTGTACTAGTTGAAGTATTGTGTACTCATTATGTATGATATACTGTCCTTTAAAAAAAAGTCATGTATACAGTGCATAGAAAATCATATATATATGGTGAGATTTCTTCAGAGATCAGGGTTGATTCTGCACTCAGCCACAGAAAACTACGTTGTGACCTTGGTTGAGCCACGCTCTCTCAGCCACAGAAAACCCAATGACAGGTTTCCCTTAGGGTTATTATTACAGCACTCTAACTGGAAATCAGCTGTGACCAGCAGTACTGTAGAATTTGAAGAGGCACAAATGGAGGGTGAAAGAGAGAAATGTGCCATGAGGAAGGTGCATCAAGCCAACCCCAACTGGGACCGCCTTCCACCTGGAAACCGATGCCCTCACTGCGGGAGAACATGTGGGTCAAGAATAGGGCTCCACAGTTGCCTATGTACCCACTGCCAGGACACTGAACTTGGAGGACAATCTTACTTGGGCAATGAGGGATTGCCTAAGTAAGTATAAGTACTATTACATGTTGCAAAGGACTTGAAGGCACACTGCAATAATGGACTTGACAGTGCTCCAGTCCGAGATCAGAATTTTAGAGAGTCACCATAGTGGTTGGAACATTGGCCTATGACTCTAGAGACCAGGGTTCAAATCCCCACTCAGCCATGGAAACCCTCTTTGCGTCTTTGGGCAAGTCACACACTCTTAGCCTTTCCAAACCCAACAATAGACTCTCTTTAGAGTTTGCATGTGTTGGAAATGACTTGGAAGGCACACTACAACCGCAGTCTGGGACCAGGACTTTAGAGAGCCCCCATCATGGTTTGAGCATTGGATGACAACTCTAGTCCCCACTCAGCCATGGAAACCCAACTTTGTGACCTTTGGTGAGCCAGCACATGACAACAATGGACTTTGCAATGGTCCAGTTTGCAAACTGAACTTTAGAGAACCAACAACAGTCTGTGATGGGAGCGAAAACCCTGCCTGTTGGAGCCCAGGTGCATTTACACAGTAGAATGAATGCAGTTTGACCCCACTTGGATTGGGATAGCCGGGTGCTATGGAATGAGGGCCCTGACAGTTCCTGCCTAAGAGTGCTGGTGACTCGCCAAAGGCCATAGCAGTTCAAGTGGGGTCAAACTGCATTCATCCCACAGTGTAGATGCACCCTGAGAGGCAAGCCCTTACAGCTGGGCAAAGGGGTGTGTGTGTGTGTGTGTTGGCAAGGCGGAGCTGGAGGCGCAGCTCCCCTCCCTCTCTTCCCTTTGAGCCGGGAGAAGTGCCTCCTGCCTCCAGAGCTCGGCAAAGGGGCCACGGGGCCACGGAGGAGAGGCAGAAGGAGAGCGAGCGAGCGAGGGCTCCTCCGGGCAGCTCCCTCGGCCGGCCCTTGCCTTGGCTCTGCCTTCTTTCCCCTTCTCCTCCGAGGCGCTCTCCCACCTGCGGAGCTTCTCCCATGTGCGGCCATGCGGACAGCGCTCCCGTCCCGGCTCTGCGCCGCGGGGCTCCTGCTCCTCTCCGCCGGCGCCTTCCTCTGCACAGGTAACGCTTGACTCGGCCCCGGGGTTCAGCCTCCGGAGTTGGTGCTGCTCCTGTGGTGGTCCCCTTGGAGAGGCAGGCAGCGACGCCCGGCCGGGAGGATTCCCTCTCTGCATATGCTCAGAGACACCCTCGCCTTTGGCCAACTCGAAAGTGTTATGTCCTCTTCCTCCTTTCCTCCTCCTCTTCCTCTTTCCCGTCTTCCTCTTCCTCCTCCTCTTCTTTTYCCACCTCCTCTTCCTACTTCTCTTCTTCTTCTTCCTATTCTTCCTCCTTCACTTCCTCCCCTTCTTTCTTTTCCTCCTTCTCTTCCTCTTCTTCTTCCTCCCCCTCTTCTTCTTCTTCCTGCTCTTCTTCCTCCTCTTCCCCTTCCTCTTCCCCCTCGTCTTCCTCCTCTTCCTCCTTCTCCCTTATCTTCCTTCACCTCTTGCTGTTCCTCCTCCTATTCTTCCTCTTCCTCCTCCTATTCCTCCTTTTCCCCTTCTTCTTCTTCCTCCTTCCCTTCCTCCTTMTTCTTCCTCTTCCTCCTCTTCTTCCTCTTCTTCCTCCTCTCCTCCTCTTGTTCTTCCTCCTCCTCTTATTCTTCCTCTTCATCCTCTTCTGTTCTTAGTCCTCTTGTTCTTCCTCCTCTTCTGCTTCCTCCTCTTTTTCTACTTCTTGCTCTTCCTCCTCCTCTTTTTCTTGCTCTTCTTCCTCCCCCATTTCTACTTCTTCCTCCTCATTCCTCTTCCTCCTCTTCATGCTCCTCTTCCTCCTCCTCTTCTTCATCTTATTCTTCCTCCTATTCCTCTTCTTCCTCCTCTTCTTCATCTCCTCCTCCTCCTCCTCTTCTTCCTCTTCCTCGTCTTCCTCTTCTTCCTCCTCTTTTTCATCTTTTCCTCCTCCTCCTTTTCTTCCTCTTCCTCTTCCTTTTTCTACTTCTTCCTCTTCCTCCTCTTTTTTCTTCATCTTCTTCCCCTTCATCCTCCTCCGCTTTTTCTACCTCCTCCTCCTCCTCCTCCTCCTCCTCCTCCTCCTCCTCCTCCTCCTCTTCTTGCAGTAGAGTCCATTAACTGGAACTCAAACAACTAGAACTCTCAAGCAACCGGCACAAAATCAAAAGCATTTAAAAAAATAAAATACTCCCCTCTTTTTTATAATACGTTAATTTAAATGTGTGTTTATTTACTTTGAATTACTGTATTCCAATATTAATATCATGTTAATACAGAGTTTATGGTATGGGACATAATAATATTATTAGCATGGGAAATAGTATTATTTTCTTTTTTTAATACTAACTCTCAAGCAACCAGAGGCTACATATATCTGGCATCTAGCAACCCCATGGGTGCCGGTGATCTGAAAAGCTTGTTGTTGTTGTTGTTATGTATATTTATATCCTGCTTTCCTCTCCTAAGAAAGACGCATGCTGGGGCGACTTTGCTTCTTTCCTGTAGAATCAATGTAGTTTGACACCACTTTAAAAGTCATGGCTTCATGCTACAGAATCCTGGGAGTTGTATTTTGGTGTGGCAAGAGCACTCTCTGGCAGAGAAGGGAAAAACCTGGTGAAAGTATTAACTTCCATGATCTCATAGCACTGAACCATGGCATTTGAAGTTGTGTCAAACTTCATGAATTCTACACTGCAGGTAACTCATTTATCCCAAAAGAGAAGTCCAGGACTGGCCAGGGGCGCATTTATACTGTTGAATGAATGCTGTTTGACATCACTGTCATCGCAGTGGCCAGAGGTGGCCCTAAGTAATTTTCAATGGTAAGCAAACAGTATTTTGGTGCTCCCCCCCCCAACCAATAATTGATATAGATTTTCTGTTCGTCATGGGAGCTCTGTGTACCATATTTGGTTCAATTCCATCACTGGTGGAGTTCAGAATGCTCTTTGATTGTAGGTGAACTATACATCCCAGTAACTACAACTTGCACATGTCAAGGTCTAGTTTCCCTCAAGAGTGCCTCAAGAGTGCCCCTGGGCAAAATCTATACTGCGAATGCTTACTTTGCGTAATGGGTTGAGCTGCCCCTGGCCATGGCTCAATGCTGTGGTCTCATGGGAGTTGTAGTTTTACCAGATCTTGAGCCTTCTCTGCCAAAGAGTGTGGGTGCCTCACCAATCTACAGTTCCCAGAATTCCATAGCATTGAGCCAGGGCAGTTCAAGTGGTGTCAAACTGCATTCGTTCTACAGTAATAGACCATCTGTTAGAAAAGAAAAGTTTAGGATACGTTGATAAGTAAACTCTCTCTGACAATGGCACAACTGTCTTTTAAAAGCCTCTGCACTGAGGAGCCAATCCAAATTGGATCCTGATGAAATTCACTTGAATATAAACTCAGGGTGGCGGCAGTTTACAGCTTTGAGGGCAAAGGACAGCCGCAGTTGGCAGCAAAAAAGTTTTTTTTTTAAAAGGACCTGTCTTTTATTTCAAAACTGCTCCCTGACTGCTTCCAACGCCAGGAGTTACATCCCCAGGGGCTTCTACACTGCAGAATGAATGCAGTTTGACACCCCTTTGATTTCTATAACTTAATGCTATGGAATCCAAGGACTGGTAATTTGGTGAGGAACCAGAGAGGCCTTAAGACCTGATCTCAGGATACCCAAGCATTGTGGTAGGGCAGTTAAGGTGTCAAACTGCATTCATTCTACAGTGCAGAGGTGTGCAGAGCAAGGTGTTGGCTCTTGCTAAGTGGTAACTGTGCACTGCATATCCTTCGATATTATTACTGCTTCACACTGGGATCAGAAGCATATTTTTATCCCCCCCCCCCAAAGTGTTATGTCTCCTGCATTATTAAAAACCAATAAGACTATGCGTGAAAGGATGGGATGAATTTGGTTCTCTAGTGCCAGTGGCAGTCAGGCATATGAAAGAAAATGGGATGTGTGTGGGTCTGTGTGAACAAGAAGTTTCTTACAGGGCATTTATAAAGTGTATTGAAGACCGAGAACAAGCCACAAGAGTAAAGACAAAGATACACCCAGAGGAAAAGTGTTTTTACTATGCTCTTACCATACATTAAGGAAACTACTGACCGCATTGGGAAGCTGATGAAAAAACACAACCTACAAATGATCTACAGACTCACTAAGAAAATCCAACAAATGCTATATTCAGCAAAGGACAAGAGAGATCCTCTCACCTCTGCAGGAGTCTACTGTATAGGGACTAGCTATATGGTAGACTCCTTATAGGTATAGGGCAAGTCTACATAGGAACTACCAAACACAGCATTGCCCAAACATGAATCAAGGAACATGAAAGGCACTGAAGACTAATTCAACCAGCCATAACAGAGCACTCAATCAACCAACCTGGACACAACATATTATTTGAGAACACAGAAATGCTGGACCACTTCAACAATCACCATGTCAGGCTACACAGGGAGTCATTGAAATCCACAAGAATGTGGTCAATTTCAACAGAAAGGAGGAAACGATGAAAATGAACAAAATCTGGCTACCAGTATTTTAAAAAACCCTCTAAAATCAGGCCAGTACAGAAAGAACAACACTCAAAAACAGGGGAAATCCAGACAATAAACAATTGGGGCCAGCTAAGACCTCCCAACAAAGGATTCCACCGGGCAGGAAGCAGTCAAGCCTTGAAGCTGCAAGGCTTTTCAATGCTAATCAAGGTGATCAATTGCAGCATTCACACTTGATTCAAACAGACCAGAGTTCTTTCTTCCATCTTGGACATTCCACCGATATATAAACCCCACTTGCCTAGTTTCCAACAGACGTCATAACCTTTGAGGATACCTGTCAGAGATGTGGGTGAAACATCAGGAGATAATGCTTCTGGAACATGGCCATGTAGCCCGGGAAACCCACAGCAACCCAGTGTATTGAAGATAGTCATGTGAGGCTGTGGTGATCCATCTTAGAAGAAAGCTGTCTAAAGAGATAGAAACCAGCACAGTGTAGTGGTCTGAATGTTGGAATGGAACTTGGAAAGAAACTCAAAGGAGGACTTTGGGCAAGTCACACTCTCTCAGCCTCTGATGAAGGCAAGGGAAAACCTCCTATGAAGAAATAGGAAAATCCTAGGGTAAGTCAGAATCAAGGCACATGACAACATCAATAAAGGACATAGAATATGAGATCAATATTCATAGAGCCAATGCAGTGAATGTATATTTTCTGTAATGTACACAATGAATGTGCATGCTTCTTGTAATGCAGATGGAATAACTCTGCCAAAATTCTGCCAGGAGGGAAATGACCTCTTCCCTTGGTATCATTGGAAGATTGCCTTGAAATGAAAATAGCAACTTTGTAGAAACAAACCCATCCTCTTCCAAGCTTGGCAGTGGTTCCCAACCTTTGGTCCCTAAGGTTTTGAGACTTAAACTGCCAGAAGCCCCAGCCAGTATGTCCAACTGTTAGGAATTCTGGGAGCTGAAGTCCAAATCACCTGGAGGGCCAAAGGTTGGGAACCATGTGGGGCGGGGGGGGGGGGGGGGGGGGAGGAGCCATTTGGGTTTTCCCTTCATCATTACAACTGGTCTTCAAATGTTTTTGCTGCTCCAAGCAACTCAATTAGGCTGCTCCCCTTTTTTTTGTTAAATGTTGGTGGTGTTCTCACTTTTCCAAGTTGTGCCCCCTTCAACAGCCATCACTTTTACTTGTGTGGAGCAAGAACCCGAGCAAATCAGGAATACTTACAGTATGACATATGGAAATGAATTTGATACAGTCATTGGAGTGACAGTGGGTTATGAACAGGCATGGGGTGTGTGTTGGTGGGTACAGATTATCCAAAGACTGGGACTCTTTGAAGGACCAGTTCCTCCTAGATCTTTTCTGCTTCAGGCAGCCACTTCTGTTCCCTTATTACTTTGGGCTGGTTCTCTATTCATGGCCCTCATATAAGATTGGACAACACATGCTACAGATAAGTGATTGTATATTTGTTGTTGTGTGCTTTCAAAGTCACTTCTGATATATGGCAATTGTAAAATGACCCTATCACAGGCAAGATTTATTCAGAG